ATTAAATTACGTAACTACAGAATGTTCAACAGTGCACGAAACAGTATAAAGTCGGAGAATGTACGCAGCATCTTTTTTTAAAAAAAGGGTCTGAATGGACATAAAAACAGCCAATGTCAGGCATACACGTACAAGTCCCGTCATGCAATGAGATCGACAAATTCACTATAGTTACTACAATCCAGGCCATGCCATTACTTTTTTTAATAATTTTTAGACAATATAGAAACAAGTGTAACGTTTTAAAAGTAAATTGTCACGTATATTTGATCGTGTTTTCCTGACAATCTCTGCTAGTCCTCGCGAAAAAAAACAAAACAAATTCGGAACGACAGCGCCAGACGTGCCCCTTTAACATTGTCCAAATCAAAATATTTTATGAATAATTAATTACATTACGTAATCAATAATCAGCGACGTCATTAGAATTTCCTTTGGGAGGATGAAACATGAATAAATAAAGAAGTTTCTTATAAATCGTACGCTAGTTTACAGCTCAATTAATTAAAACGTTATGTTCACAACTGAATGTGTCGATATACTCCTCACGTTACACCTTTCACCGGCTCATTCCGCAACCAAGAATGGTACCGTTGGTAGCGCGCGCTTAGTAGACCGGGGCAATACCTACAACTCCCTCAATTGTTTTTAAAGCGGGAGGGCCAATGGCACGCTATGGCCATCTGGCACATGCGCAGGTGACGACTCCACCGCTTTAAAGCGCGGTAGTCGTCGCGCTGCGCATGTTCGACATTTGTGTTGATAAACATTGATTTTACCACAATCCAATGCGCTCTTCAAATGGAAATCACAAGTATGAGGTTTGACCTGGGCGCGACTTGCACTGATTACCGCCGGTGGCTCCTTCGATACCTTCCAATCACATGAAAATTACCTAATTAAAGCTTGGAAACGTGTATGTTCGTACTCGTTGATCTGCGCAACAGTCAAAGTCGCCATCTTTGTTTATATGTGACCCATATATCTCGCACATGCGCAGCGCGACGACTACCGCGCTTTAAGTTTCATTTGTCTGTGACGTTAGAATGTAATTCTTTTTTTTTGGATTGCAGTTATATAGAAAAACTAGTAGGGGCTGTTCGATTTTATTGATTTTCTGTGTTTGTTTGCCAGCTCACGTTATGTTCACATGATATGGCTTCATTATGAAAATTAGTTATCCAGTTTCCAATGCAACACAACTGTGTAAAATTAATAAAGATCGTGTATACTTAGTCACGTAGAGGACGCGCTGTTATGGAGTGAAGAAACACTTTTACTTTAAGGCTGTTCGAGCAGACAATTTTTTAATCGACTCGAACCCCCGTCTTTACGATATCTTTCTTTCCTATGGCGTGAATAAATGCCTTGAATTTCATTGTCGTAAATCGCGGCCTGTTTGCGGCAGTGCGATGATTACCACAAAAACACCATGTTCAAACACGCGAGTGATGTGTACATCTTATAAAATACCATACCACATTTAACAGAGAAACTCCTAGCACGTGTTGATGAACCAATGAAATAACTGCAGCATAAAGTATTTGTAGAGACTTTAAAAAGATGGAAGAATGAAAACTTATGAGAGATAAACTTAGCATCGATGCGCTTCACGAACATAAAATGAAAGTGAAGTTGCATTCCTGTCAAAAATCAGACATGTGCCTTCATCACGATATGAGTCTGTCTGTGTCAACACACTTACAGAAATCGGCGTCTTTGTTCGGAGTTCTATCGACCAAAGTCATACAACCTACTAGTATCGTATTAGTTTATTATGTCTGGCGGCCATCTTTATCTTCATTGTTTATTGTCAATGGCGCCGTAATAATTATTCACGTTAACATATTCACGAAATGTATTAGTTCGTTGCTACATTACTCTTACAGGTGGTTACAGACCGAACTCCGTCCCCTAGTGACGAAACGATTTTGTGACGTCAAAATGGCGTCGAAGTATGAACACCATGTCGTTTAAAGCGACAACTATATATTTTGTGTAGTAGTTCGTCATCTAGAATGTATTAATATTTTGTTTGTAGATTGTATTGATGCTTGATCAACATGAGCCCTTCTTTCACAAATTTAATGGCAAAAACGCTTCATTGCTAAACTCTCTAGGTTATATTTTCCCATTAGAAGAAACGCATTCTCTCTGACTGCCACTGATAATCTCGTTTGTTCTTGATGCCATTCTTGATGTTTACTATTAGCTTTTATATTTACATTAATGAAACAAGCGAAATCTACAATGAAATGATTAAATATTGAACTTAAAGCGGAGGGGTCGTCAGCTGCGCACGCGCGGGAATTGAGTTCCAAGCGACGATAATAACGGCAAAAACGCAAAGGCTCATGGGTAGACGCTTGTTTGTAAACAACGACACGCTATGGCCATCTGACGCATGCGCACATGACGACTCCCTCGTCTCAAACTAAAAGGATCCGTTGTGTCGTCACAGGAAGCAACTGTCCCAGCACAGACGGTGTAGAAGACGCCGACCTGCAGCGTCAATGGGTCAAATACTATTGCCATGAATGATTTCCCGCGATTTTGAGAAAATACAAATAAATTTTGCTCGTTTCGCACATTCTCATTAGTTTTGAATATGTAATTTCTCGTTCTCTGTTAGCCATTGCACCGGGAGCGTGCCATCACGTTTTTGCAAGAAAAAAAAGAAGGTTGGAGTGATTTTATTATCGGTCATGAGCTCGTTAGCTGATGTTGATTACGATCTCAAGCAGGCCGTCGCACTGTGGCGTCATTTCTCTACTTTTTCCCCTACAAATGTCTGATCAACACTAACTTGTTTTATTACATGTATATTTCATAACAGCAGCAAACGCTGTGACGTCATTATTTTATCTTGAGATACGAACCAGTCACTGCGCGTGCTGTTCTTCTAGCAACTTCATCGGCAAAATGGCTGTGTTATGTAAAACCACATACCATATACGTTATTGTTGTTGTGGCTGCTTATAACCCCCTCTTTGTTTCTCAAAAAATCGTTCGTTTTTTAAAGTTCAGCTTTATAAAGGAACACCCTACACAAACACTCAAATCTGATCATACGAAGTTATCGAACTCATTCACATGCTAGAAATCTCATTACTTTCTAGAGAACGATATGCGAGCAACCGACAATACCTAAATAACGAACACTCAGAATCCAAACAATTCAATCAATAAAATCCCCAGTTTCGTCAAATAAATTGGTACAATAATTATTTCCGAATTTTCGTTAGGAAATAGAGGAACGGTGCTGAGAACAGAGCTTTATTCATTCGCCGTTTTTACGAGCAATTTATCTAAGAATGGCGATCTTTATGATCCAATTTCGCGCGCTCTGACGTGGTAACAAGAAACTGCTATCCACATGGAGTGGCCGTATCTACGTGACGCGGGAAAGTGTTTTATTTCACGCGACGAGAAATGATTGACACGCTCACACGGGGAGTTATTTTTAGCTGCTACGGAGAACAATAAGTCCACAATAAAAAGTAATAACGGGCTATTGAATTCGCATCTACTAAAGGAACAACTCCAACTAGGAGAGTGAGCCATTCGAATCAGACAAAAATATTCCAACCAGTTAGTGCGAGTACATTTTAATATAAATGACTGGTTTCATTAGAACAAATAAACGCGGCAGTTTAAATAGCGCATTTAATTGTAGAATCCAATATAGAATTTGTTGCACTTTTACTGACGTCACGGTGACTATCGACTATGTAACCATAACAAAAGAATTCACAGCTGTTATGAGTATTATGGGATGTCCTTATAATTAGTAAGAAGACGAATGGTTTATTGTGTGATTTATAAAAAAAAAAATGGGACGATGTTGATGAATATGCCAGTGAGCGGGAGATGTACGTAAAACAACGCAAAGACATAAATATGACGATGAACGCAGCTGGTGAAATTGACACCGAGATATGACAGATGGGGCCAGCATAATTTAAATACTCCCTAGCAAATAAATTAAATGAAACAAATAAATAGACACATGATGAATAAGAAAAATAATTGATAGATAGATAGATAGATAGATAAATG